CCCCACCACCCTTCTTCAGGGAACTACCGACGCCCTGTAATACAGGCGGCATTGCGTTAAACTTCACGAATGATAACTACTTTGATGCCGTAACTCTAGCTCAAACCCTATCTCCCCGGAATTGAGCGCAAGGCCACCTGCATTACCTGGCCTTCTTATGCTCCTGTCCTGCGGTCGCTGTGCGGAACAGGGCTTCGTTGGGTAACAAACGAGAGACCGATTGAAGTCACCCCCGCGTGCGGCGAGTCATGCATGACAGCCTATCGCTCCATGGTGTGCTGTTGACCCCCATACTTCTAACATGCACTTGAAAAACTCATAGCTTCTGTTCTTAATCTCTACTCGCGCTAACCGACATTGACGCCATGAGCAAAAGCCCATTGGTGGGGCATTTACAGTCTATGTAAATTGTTTACTTCCAACCGTATAAATTAGACAGAAATTATGAAATCCTCTGATTCTGCTTACATTTCCCCCCTCGGTGCGTCTGTTACAGTTCATCGACAGCCACGCGTTCTACGTTAACTTGGACGTAAACTTCATTCTGGACAACTTCAAGGCTGATGTTGCCTTCCTGAGACGTGTATGGGCATACCCCGGTCGTCCTACCTTTTTGCTGCCTGTGCACCAACGCTTCTTGAAACTCGGTAAGCCTGGGTTGTTGTGGTAGTGGTTTTTTCCTTCCAAACAACTGTGCTAAACTGATTTCCAGACGCGCAGATCGCTTTTGCTACCATGTCAGATGCCCACTTCACCACTTTATCTCGCAGCACAGTAATTGAAAATATTGCTCCCTCTGTAATCTCGAATTCAAACATCGGGATAGTGGCAATAGATGGCGTGTCGTATTCGTTTCGAGCTCCGACCAGTCGAACTCGTGCACAGAGTTCGGAAATGACCGTCTGTTCGAGTTCGTCTCAAAGTGCATTCGCTAATCACAGCATGCGCATTTCCCGCACCGATGCATGCCACATTTCCAAACGCTGCCTACCAAGTTTGGAAAAGTTACAGTCGAATTGCACTTCTACGCAGGTCATTTTAAATCTTAACGCGGATTAGAATTTAGCGTTATTCCAGTCGGATTCATGTACGCTAGCGTTATGCATGTGTTCGAGACTCATTCTGGCTATCAATACCTACCTTTACCGTCAATTTTGATTATCCTCTTAACACAATCCTACTTTCAAAAGGACTGCACACTCAGTTCTTTTATTATACTTATTTCTTAAATGTGCTCAGACGAAGACGGCGTTCGGGTTTTTGGTAAGGATTCCCTATGAGCAACACCGTTTTTTTTCACCATAAATAACCATCTACTCATTTCGTTGTAGTTTAGTATTTAGTGTAGTCTAGTTTCTATTTTATTCTCTAGTTTTGTTAATTTAGTTTTTTTTTAAATTTTTTCTTCACCCTGGTATGCTTCACCCATATAACCCCCATTATCATCGACCCCCCTTCACAAACCTGACGTTTTTTCTTACTGTGATGTTGTTTCTATGGGATCCTTTTTAGGTTTTGAAAAACTAAGGATTGCTTGTATGGCCCCCTAAAGAGGAACCGCCCGTAATAGTGGTGGGTTTGTCTAAGATTTTCGGGAAAATAAGGTTAGTTCTATGCTTCGGCTTAGCATTCAGTTTAGGTGATGGTTAACCTTAGAGTTGGGTTAACATTAGGTCTGGCGTTACGTTTGGTTTACATTTGTTAAAGCTAACGAGAGGGTCAGAACACGAGTAAGGCCCGGCGTTCCTCTACCTATGTCCGGTTTAGGAGCCCAGTAGAACATCTGAGATCCCGGCCTCTTAACGCTACTTACCAAATATGCAACGTGACCCATCTCTACCATAATGTTTCATGCATACCAGCCTCGCTCTGTTTTGGAGCCACGGAGGCATACGTACAAGCCTTTTAGTCTTCCGCGGCCCAGTCCTCGGCGTCAAGCATGTGATCCCACCAGCCGTTCTGCTATCACCCCCAACAGCATACCCGAGAGACTGATTTTTTTCGCAGGCACTCCTCTGCGCCTAGGTGCTGGGGACAGATGGGCAAAAAAGGCTACTATGGGTTAAAATTACACAGCTCGTATGATCTGGCCAGTAGAGCCTTGCTAGTCCGGGTCATCCTCTCAGCTACTGCACTGTTAACCCCATCCACTTTTTATCACAACTGTGACGGTTGCTGCTGATGCTGCTGCTGCTGTGGTCTTGAGGTATCTTTAGATGCATCCGCATTTCGACGACACCTTGCCTAACCGGCTAACCGCCATTAGCGCATGAAGGCCATTGTGTGCAGTCAGGTCACGCAGTCAGTTCGTCGAAAGCAACGGGCTTCGTGGGCTCGCGTACGTGAGCGTGCGTGCGTGCGTGCTACCGTATCGCTGTCATTCCGCTGACTGGCTGCGCAACTGGCAGCACTATTGACCAGAAGGAAATGTGTTTTTTTTGCATTCGAACAGAGTACTTACGGAGGCTTGCAATGCCGCTTTTCGTACAGTCTAATCCCAAGAAATTTTTAGTCATCGCAAGATGTCGACTTTTCAACGAGCTCTTTTTTCGTCATACCGCCTGCAAAAAGAACATTCTGTAAAAAATGGGCTACTTAAATTGTGTGCATTTTTCCCCATAGATTTTCAGCACCCTTATGCATTCAAACATCTTTCATTGAAAAAAATGCACAAAATATTCTTTTTTTCGTATTCGGTGGGTAGCAAATTACGTCTTCCTCAAATTTTATGCTTGAAGGAAGACTATGTTTCGGTTTTAAAAGGAGTTTCTAAATTGCCGAATAATTTTGAAGCCTACTGACCACTACACTTGTATTCAAGGTTTTAAACCTGCATACTGTATATATTCAGTCTAACTAAAACCAGGCATTTGTCTTCGCTATGTGGAAAGGTCGCAGAGTCCTCATAAAATTTTGTAATGACTGTGGATCCTGTTGTACACTTTAGGGGCAACATTATTAAAATGACAGATACGATATATGATGCATAGACAGTTGACAGTCCAGCTTTTCAATCTTCTGAGAAATTAATTTCTGTTCGCGGTATATATCAGTATATTTAAGTTCTATAGGCGTAGGACGTAGGCAGAATACCGGCGACACGTGTCTGGA